ACATTTTCATCCTGAATTAATTTTGTAATCACATTTTAAATCAGTAAGCTTCTGTGTTAACATTTTTCACAGGTGCCTTTTTATCAGGCATTTAATCAAAGAGACATGTACAAATAGGCTAGAATAGCAATTTTTGGACCAGTTCTCTAAATTTCATCTGATATTGAGTGCACAAAGTTACCGATACAAGTTTTATACATATTTTACTGTATGTACAATATAAACAATAAACTATCCTATTGTAGGAGGCACATTTATAAACCAAAAAAGTGGTAAAATATTTTGATAATATTATTATACAGTGAAAGCATTTCATTTATATCATGTTTTTGCACAGTACATAAATCAGATAGTTTTTTACAGAACGTAGTATCTGATCAGTACAATCAGTAAGTCTTAATATCTAATACCTTAGTGTCCAAATGAAAAGTCAATAAATAATAGGCTTGACTTTTGTTTACTGGTCTAGGCATCAATACAAATTTGTTTCTTGAAAAATGATACATTGTCTTTAAAAAGTAGTCGAAAGTTTTATATGTTCCCAATATTGTTTTTTGATTGAAGTGCAATGTTAATGCCCAATATTATTTTTAAATATTGGAATTTGACACAAACGCCACAATAACAAAACCTGGTTTACAATTTAATTTAGCAGAACTCAGAACATTTCCTTACACCTTTATTAGGCTGCCTCTACATACAGGCATTTTCCTTTGTAGAAAAGTAACAGTTTGTCATTACTATCTATGAATGTACTGTAGGAATATAAAGAATGCTGTATGACTTAGACACACATTTGCGGGAGTAATAACAAATTTTTAAAACACCTAGGTATTTTTTTCTGGAATTTCCATTGTTCGTGGCAACGGGTGTACTAATTGAACAAAAAGAATATTTTCTTTTTATTTGACGTCATCAGTTTGTGCGAGAGATGAATTTGCGAAACAAGGTATAAAAAAGTCTCGCCTAGTTAGTAAAATTACAAGTAGGACGCTGCAATCAGTTTAATCCTTGGGTCTTTACCTCCTGAAAAAGTACATTTGCATTTCTTATGTCTAAATTTAATTTTATAATATTTTAGTCTGCAGCCAAAATAAATAACATTTTTTACCACTCTTTTTCCATATGTTTATTGACCTAACACATCTACATGCGTTTAGGGCCCTGAAGGAGCCCTAGTGGGTTCAAGAAATAGAGCATCTTGGGTAAACCTATGACTTCTTTTTTGGATTGGGTTGGATTGGATTTATTTGATGTAAACACCAAGGATAGCCCACGAAAGTCTAGAATAAGACTTATTTCCAGTGGGGTCCTTCTGTGGGTGATTGGGCCGTACACCGGGAGACAATCCCCTACATTAAATATGTTCCTCAAATACTTGTCATCTGATTTTACAGTATATAATATATCTCCGTGCAAAGAGTACTACAGTGACACAATGTTTAACATAATGATTACAGTTAAGATATTGCATCTTAGATTGTCTTTGTAAATTTTAGTTGCTAATTAAAATAAATGTGTGTTCGATAAGTAATATAATGCAAGCTTTTGTGTTCTTAGTACATTTTGATGGTAAATTATTAGGTTTTAAAATGCCTATTCCAGATAGCATGTTCTAAACCAGATTATGAAGTCATTCAGGTGTAAAGGACGGTAACAAACGTCTGATTGAAAATAAAGGTGCAACCTGCAGGAAAACTCTATATATTACTGCTGCTGCTGCTGCTGCTGCTGGCAGCGGCGGCGGCAGCAGCAGCATTAATAATAATAATAATAATATTAATGATGATGATGATGACGGTGTCGGCGGCAGTGGTGGACGTGGTGGTGGCGGCAGCGGCAATCACATATTGATGTGCGCAAGAGAAAATGTTTGTGCTGATTAACCATCCAGACGCGTGCACAGATCTAGATGAAATATACCATAGTGCCTTTTTTTTTAATGTCTTACAATTACTAGCATAGTTTGAGTACCTAATTATGTCCATTAAAATATCAAAAAGAAAAAAAATTGTACATTAACACTAGTCTACAAAATGTTCGACGAGGATGTGTCACACTACAAAAGCAACACATGCGAGAAATCATTCTAATTACAATAGTGCAGTACAATGAAATTAAGAGAATATAGTATTTAGTATGCACTATGTATACTGTACCACTTCAGGGAGTGTGGTACCACTTCAGGGAGTGTATAAAAAAAAAACGTGTACCGTATGTTCTATAATTATAATTGGATAAAATATATTATAAAATGACCATGTTAATCACAAAATAATATATTCAGTTTTATTTTTACAGTTGCAGGTTCAAAGGGAGGGTGCCCTCCTCCCCCTCCCAATTTTTCAAAAAAGAAAAATGTATTCGTCCAATAGTGGCATTTCCTGCAATCTGGAGGTGTCATAATCATTAATTTTCTCACCTCAACCCCAACCATGGTGGGACTGAGGTAGTATAGACTCTCCATCTGTGAAAGTCCCTCTCTGGGGCTTCCTCAATTTCGAATTCCTGGATCATCCACTTGTTTAGAATATTAATTATATGGCAATACTTTGGTCGACTTCGCTTCACTTATTATTTAATGATATTTGGTGGATCAAGAGGGGCTGATGTTCAGCGATGGTCTCTACAAGGATGGGAAGGGTAATCTTGCCGAAATTATGTTATCACAATACACAGCACCTTTAAATATACTCACAGGCTACAGTAAACGTTTGCACTGGTCACCTGGTACTTACCTAACCTTAATTTGGATTAAATTTAGTGCATTGAATACAATTTAAAGCTAT